AGACACAAATTTAAAAAATTTATAAAAACACACACATCATTGTAAAATCAATACATTCATCGCTCCGCTCAGAATCTAAAACGACAAATTTCTTAAATAATGAAAACGAAGGGATGGATTTCCTAAAACTGAAAAATATAAACTAAATATTTATTCGGTTAAAAGTTTTGAACAAATAAAAAATACGATTATTTCACGAAATCTAGCCGGGTTAATTTTTAATAAATCAACCTGTATTACAGTATAATGTGTATATTTTATTCCATGTACGTCCGTGGATTGCGTAGGTAAGTGTAAGTACGTGAGCCTACTTCAAAATAGTATTTCATTTTTATTTTCATGAAAATACAAAATGAGCAATAAACAAACGTACATGTTATGTGATATATATGTAATATGTATATATTTTTTATTTAACAAAAATTATTTAATGGTCCAATATATTTTCGTTGGAAACCAATACCACCCATCTTACACGACGAGAAATTATATAAAATGTGTTAAAAAATATCGACATAATAATATATGTTAGAACCCGGCTTGAAACGATCGGCGGTTGGACCCTCGTGAAGCAACCTTTAAAATAAATTCAAGAAATAGAAATGATAAAAGTATTGGAACGCATGTGTGTGTCTGTGTGCGTGTGTGTTAGTAAATATATTATAATATTATATTATAAGATATTATCGTAAGCCTTTTTAATTTGACGCTTGTGTGCATTGGAATACCTCACATCCACCATCACCAAGGTAGAAATCGGCCGATATCATCTGCGCAGACGCAAAGTCTAGTGGATAATATATAGTAAATTAGAGAAAATAAAACAGTAGGTACAACTAAACAGTAAACAGTATATAACAGTAGGTACGAATAATAAATGCGGAGGATTCATGACCGTCTCCCAATCCCAATGTGAAACGTAGGTAGGTACCAGCTACTACTAATGTATAAATTGCACTCTGATGTCACTTGGTATCTTTTCGCCGATAAAACTAACGTTCGACAATGTGATCCATTCACACTGCTATATTGTTTTGTAAATTCTTTTAGTCAATATATTTTGTGCTATTGAAATAAAAAAACAAGAAAAAGAAAAAAAGAATTGTATTTTTTTAAATATAATAATATAGTGCAGGTAGTAGTGTTATAAACAATAATTTCAATTAAATATTTAAAAATAATACAACAATAATTGTTAAATTCTCAATTATTAACCTTAAAGAAAAGTTTAGCAATTTACAGCTGCAGTTTATTTTTTATATATTATACAATTTCAACTTTGTAACCGTTCTACAATATATCCTCCTATGGGCATGTACCTACTGGATTAAATGGATTTCTCGTTTCACTTGACGACGGTCTAATGTTTTTATACTATCAAAATTTGGAGACGATGAGACGATTGGACATTTTTACTCATCTCAGAAGGCCGGGACTACGTGTATAGAACGCGGTTAAGAAACAAAGAAATTATAAAACACCAAGTGAAAAAAAAGTGAATGAAAAAAAAGCATATGAAAAAGAAAACGAAAAACAATTTTATAAAAATTATTATTAATTAATTTTTTTTTAATGTAGCAACATATTATCAAAAGTAAATAATACAATAAAAAGTTATATGAAACAATATTACATTCCATCCATGCATAATTAAATAATAAAAAAATTGATATTTATCACTTAGCTCGAGTTTCTTATCCAAGCTTCCAAGTTTAATATTTTATGTTTGGAGGTGCTCTAAGGCGTCAAGTCTCAAGTGTCCAGGGAAAATTAACAACATCGAAAGAAAATCCTACTGACATATCAATAATCTATAAAGCGCATACTTACTCATCCTCCAGACACGCATGAAGTTGAAGTCAATAAATGCTTAGCACGAATTTTTTTTAAATGGGTTTTAAATTTAGGTATATTATAGTTGGGCACTAGGAACATAATAATAATAATGATATAAATAAAAATAAATACATTATTTACAAGCCATAAACTTGGTTTGAGAGTTTTTATAAATATTTAAAATGCGTTTGTACATTTTCTCGATTTTTATCAATAAAAAATGTATCTAGATGAATTTATTTAGATTAGTAAAAAAATGATCGAAGATGAACATTTAGATACCTTGTAACTATTTATCTAGATAAGATAAAAGATGAACATATAATAATACATAACAAATAATATTCATCAAGATAAGTCCGAACACTGGGTATAGGTAATGCGCCGCGCGTCAGTGTGCGAAACCTCCAGCTCCACCGTCCGCACACTCTACCACCTCTGCCCACAATCACACTTTTATAAATTAATTATATTATTAACACTATTATGCATATAACCAATATCCCATCAATGTATTGTTCCCAAGACCGATAAACGGCTTGTCGTCTTACGTCTTTTCTCTTCCTGCTTCCTAAGGTGACACATGGTCACAGATATTATTATTGTTTTAACGGCGTTTTCTTTCGGAAACATGGAGTAGAGGCCGATGACGTTTTTCTGGGCGATGATCGCGGAAAAAACGATTGATGAAAAAGGGTGATTAGACATCGACGAGTGTCTGACCCTTTTTTTGTATGCATGTACGTATTATTGGTATTATTATTTTTTACGTATCTGGCCGGTACAATGCATTAATTAACATTTGTATACGACCGGTGACCGCCTAGAGGAGCCGTTGAGAATTATTATTTATTCTCATTAATATTATTGTTCAAAGAAAATATCGTCGTCTGTTTAAATTATTATTGCCTTGGTTTTTTTTTATTAAGCCCGAGTTTTAAGCCCGTTTGAGCTTCTCGGCATCAACTCTATATACCAAGATTTACTCACCAAATTTTGTCTATTGAGTTTTATTTTATTATTATTATTATTATTATTATTATTATTACTGTAATACCTGTGTATCCATCCCTTTAGCCTATCGTTATATTATTATGGAAAAAAGAAAACCACGCCACTCTGGCCCTTCAGGTCTCAGCTCGTGGTTGGCGACCTTGCTCAAACAGGCGGGTAACCACATGACTCTCGAGTCATGAGCAATATGTCTAGAGTGGTCACAATAATATATTATAATGCTTTTGGAAATTGTACTTTGTAGAGATTTTATTGTTTTGTTACTTGTGTAATGGAAACTTCGACTAGTTGTTAGGCATAGTAAAATAGTGATATATTATTATACTGTGAAGTGCCGACATAATATTTCTTTTGCATGACGACGACGTATGTTAACTGTTGTCATTGCTTAAAAAACCATAAGTTCAAACGAAACACTGTGATTATTTGTATACGTACGAGTATAACGGGTTATTTATAAATAATCGAAATTTAGAGTCATGAGCAATATGTCTCAAGATATCACAATTTTTATAAAATTGGTTTTCGCTTTCTTTTCCATAATATGCTTTTTTTCGTTTGCTTTTTTTCCCTAAACTCGTGTGGAACGCATACGGCATACTTGAGAAATCGCACAAAAAATATAGTTAGATGAAACCCCTCCTTTCGTACAGTTAAAAAGTCATTCTGCTCGATCAACCAATAGCAACCAAATAATAAATACTAATTTTTAATAATTATTTCTCTTATAACAAATAGCAATAATTTATAAACAAAAATGTGTATCGTAAATATCAAAATCCCCATTTGAGCACCTCCTTGGGTTGAACCTAGGAGGGTGAAAAATGCTTTACGACCTATTCTCATACCCACCAAATATATAAAAAAAAATGACATTAAAATCGGTCTAGCCGTTTCGGAGGAAAGAGACCACAAACACTGTGACACGAGATTAGTATATATTATTAGATATAATCTCATTTGAGTAATAAATAATATACCTGTTTCACGATTTTTGCCGAGTCAAAGTGTTCACCTTTTCTATTCAATAAACCATCCTACCTATCGACCTATGGAAATGGAAATACTTTATTATATTTATAAAAATATGTATATAAAGAGAGAGACTAGAAACAGCTTACAACACAAGACATCTTGAGGGCAATGTCTGAGGGTTTTTATAATGACACAGATCGTCTTAATTGCAATTGTGGACCAGGATAAAAATAAATAATGTATAGTGAATGAAAATTAGGTTGTTAAGTTAGCTCTTCGAAATTCCAACGACGCTAACGTTAAATAATATATTTATATATCCATGCCAAAGAGTACTTAATATTATATACCTATATATATACAACTAATAATATTTGAAATTTGAGTAGGTATACCTATACCTATGCCAAGGTATACTCGAATTTCATGGTCTTGAGAGAAAACTGAAGAGCGTAGATCCAATTAGAAACGGAACGGTGGACAACGCAGAAGAAACTCCTTGAATTTTACCTCGCCAGAACCTACACAAGCATTTAATTTTTCCAATATCAGTAGAAATGTTATTATCAGCAGTGGTTTAACACTGAACACTAACACTGGCTAATAACTATATTATTAGGTATTGTAAATAAATAAAAGAACTAATGCGTGTATAGACTTGTATTTATTAACATAAGAGATGTTCCTCTCATCGGCGTCGGGAACTAACTGACTGTCCGACTGCCGTGTGCAGTGTTGCAACCGTACAATGATAACAATTACAACATAATATAATTACATAATATAAAATAAGTGACAACATTGTAATATGTGATTTAGAACCTTACATTCGGCCCAAAAAAAATTAACAGTAAAATAAAGTATAATAAATCATGGTGTAATAATAAATTGATAACATAACTAAATGATAAAATAATACTATCTTGTATAGAATTACAACTTGTGTTTTCTTGTTGTGTTTTTTTTATAATAATTAAATTAATGAAATAATAAATTAATAGCTTTAGTTAACAGCCTTAATAGGAACACATGTAATAATAAGCACCTCAACTAAATACTTAATAGTGGTACAAAATAGTAACTGATAATAAAAGGTAAGTATAAAAGTATTTAATGTTTTATAATAATTTTTGTATAATACCTATCGGCCCAAAAAAAATTAATACATAATAACATTAACCTATTATATAATCTTTTAACCAAGATGGTGTCTTGCGAGTACGTTTAGTAATGCTGTTTACCTTAGTGTCTATGGTTGGGGTAGGAGAATTTATTTGGATGTTGTCTGTGAGAGAAGTTGGAGGTGATTGTTGATTGTTCTCCTCAAATTGAATCTCTCCTGGATCATCCAAATTTGGTCTGTATTGAGCTGGTTTAAGTGATTGTACATGAACTATTCTGGAATGTTTTTTGTTTGTTGCATCGGCCCTGGTAATTTTATAACAAACTTTTCCAACTGGGTGTTCAATGACAAATGGTCCTTTAAAATTTGGTGAAAGTTTTGTGTCATTTGTAGACTGCCAGTTATACCATACTCGTTGACCTGGCTGGAAGTTGTGGTGGCTTCTATGTTGATCGAATCGTTTTTTGTTTATTTTGTGATTGTCTTTTAAGTTTTCAATTGCTATACCTCTACTTTCTGCAAGTAAGTCTAGTTGATCCATTCTTGACAGGTCTGACTGTACTGAACCTAGTGCCATATCCATAGTAGAGAGTTTTGGTTCATAACCATGTAATAAGTAGAAAGGTGAAAACTTTGTGGTGCTCTGTTGAGATGTGTTTATAGCTAAGATTAGATTTGGTAGCTTAATGTCCCAATCATCTGGGGGTGCTCTAATGAAAATTTAGATAAAACTGAGATCATGGTTGCGTTAGAACGTTCTACCAGTCCGTTGGCTTGTGGGGTATATGGTGGACATAGTGAATGTTGTATTTCATATTTTTCTAAATACAGTTTGAACTTAGAACTTGTGAATGAAGAACCATTATCCGAAATATATGTAACTGGTAGTCCATAGTGATTTATGATATCATTTTCAAGTGTGTGAATGATATCGTCTGTGGCAGTAGTACATGTAGGTCTAGCTAAAAGAAATCTGGTAGCGTGACAGATGTGAGCTAATATGTAACAATTGCCCGCTTTAGTAGTTGGGAGTGAAAGGTGATCTGCTGAGATGACTTCAAAAGGAACTTCAGGTATGGGTCTCTCGCCTAACATACCATATGCTGATGTGGTTCTTCTGTTGACTTGTTGACAAGTCTTACATCCACGAACATAGAGGGCACAGTCTTTTCTCGTGGAACTCCACCAATAGCGTGCTTTAATCCTGGATAAAGTTTTCTTATTATCGAAGTGACCTGTGTTGTCATGACAATATTGTAAAACTGTGTTGCGAAAAGAAAATGGAATGACAATTTTACTTACTTCAAAACCATTTTCTATATTGACATGAACTAGGATGTTATTTTCATATTTATACATACATTTTATTTGTAGAATATGAACCGTGTTATTTGTATTCTTAAGTTTTTTATTGATTTGTTGGCAAAAGGAGTCAGCTTGTTGGGCATGTACTAATTTATCGTTTTGAGAGTTAATGATTGCCAAACAACACTGATTTTCATCGTTAACAGGTTGAGGGTATCTTGAAAGATGGTCTGCAATAATGTTTAGTTTACCAGCTCTGTAGATGGGTTCAAATTCGAATGCTGCTAAGTCAACAACATATCTGGCAAACTTTCTGTTAAGCTTAGCTTTATTGACTATGTAAGCTGTGGAATAATTATCCGTTATGAGTTTAAAGGTTTGACCGACCAAATAAAGGCGAAATTTTTCGGTTATAGCCCAATGTACCGCTGTAACCTCTAACTCATTGCTATGGTAACGTTTTTCTGGATCTTTAAGGGATCTGCTTGCGTATTCTATTATACATATAGATCCATCATGTATTTGGGAGAGACAAGCACCTAATCCTTCATGACTTGCGTCGGTTTCTACGGTAGTTGGCACGTTTTGACGGAAGGCTGCAAGAACTGGGTTCGAAGTAATTGCTGATTTTAACTTAACAAAAGCATGATGTTCATCATCTGATAATTGAATTTTATAATTAGAAGATTTCTTACTTGATACTGGTTTGTTCTTCAACATATTGGTTAAGGGTCTTGCAATTGATGCAAAGTGATTATATACCTTCGTAATGCATTGGCAAATCCTAAAAAACTTCTAAGTTCCTGAAGTGTACTTAATGTTTGGTACCTTGTGACTGCTTGGGCACGTTCAGGGTCTGGTCTGTCTCCTTTCTCGTCTAATATTCTGCCTAAAATCTTTATTTCCTGTGCAGCGAAAGTGCACTTGCTTTTAGTAAATTTGAGACTGTATTTCCTTGTGGCTTCAAAAAGTAACTGTAGAAAATTCAAGTGGTCTTCAAATGAATCATGTCCTGCTGCTAAATCATCATAGTACTTTGCCAGTCCTAATTTAAGTAAATCACCATATGTGTGCGGTTGACGGCTGCACATGCAAAGCCGGTTACGAGTGTGCGTGTGTGTGAGTGCGCGCCCGGACGGTGGCCAACACGCAACCCGTCTTGTGTGACGATACTTCTCACTTACCTTAGTCGATAGCCCTGTGGGAGGGAAGAAATAGTGGACTGTATTTAAAAACTATGAAATAGGAGCTGGTTGCAAATAGGGAAATTATATTTAATATGATGATGATGTGAGGTATCTAACCTAGTGCGGTAATGCAAGTATAAAACATTTGTTTGCGGTCTAAAATATACAAACAATTTATTATGATATTCTGCAGTACGAAAATCTTATAGACTAATGTTAGTGGTAAGAAATAGTGCGCGATCACAAGTCGATCGGCGAAAAAATAATATAATAATACACAACGCACGTCGAAGACGACGACGAATAACAATTCAATTAAACTAATAGTGCGACAGTGCACGTCGGAGACCTATAACAATAAGTGATACAAAATGATGCGTGTGTACGACCTGATAGGCTGACGTTGATAGTAGGTGATAGTGGTGACGGAACGGTTGCCCCAGAACGACAATGATCCTGCTGCTCGCGTCTGTGTGGTATGCGGCAGGAGTACTTCCGTCGAACACGGCGAATCGGTCGACGACACCGCGTACTGGCGTCCGGTGGTCGACGATGGCGTGGAGGCGTGGATACGACACCAAAATAGGCCGGCGCGGGCCAAATTACGATCGGCACTGGCGTACCGGTTGTCGCGGCGCTAACGCGGCACAAACGACAAAACTAGAACACGTCACGGTTGCGGGCTGACCCGTTCGCACGATGTAGGGCGGGCGGACGGGAAAACACGTGGATGCGTGGGCGATCGGAACTCCAAAGACACGGTGATCGTCGGGCGGGCGACGATATAACAACAAATAGGTACTAGGTGTACCAGCCACGGTTCGCACTGCGTTAGACGGACGGGCGAGAAGCACGTGGATACGAGGGAACGGGGCTCAATTCGCACGGCGAATATCGGGCGAGCGACCGAACTTATTGGATGATGATGTATCGCGACACTGACGGTCGAGACGATACAAATCGTGAGCACATCGGACGGTGCGACACGGGAGCAAAGACGGCTCGGAACAAGCACGTAAACACGTGGGTGACCACGGCTCGGGGTCGCGGCGCTGACGCGGCACACGACGAACAAATAACAATGAGCCGGGAGGTCGGCACACGGGCCGATACTCGTAACGCGAAAACTGGCGTCCGCGACGAGTTAAAAGCAGCGAGGCTTAGGTGCACGGAACACGTGGATGACCACGGCTCGGGGTCGCGGCGCTGACGCGGCACACGACGAACAAATAACAATGAGCCGGGAGGTCGGCACACGGGCCGATACTCGTAACGCGAAAACTGGCGTCCGCGACGAGCTAAAAGCAGCGAGGCTGAGGTGCACGGAACGCACAACAAAAAATGGCGTTTTAACGGCGGCGGCGCACCGGATCGCGACATATACGGGATTACGGGAACTTGCCTAGACGGCTCGGAAACGACGACGAAAAGTGTAGCGGCAGCTGCGGGCGGCCGTCGGCTTGACCGCGACGGTACCGTCCCCTTCTTCTGAGGTACAAAGTTCACTCGCACAGTTTTTCGGTGGCAGCGCAGCAGGGTGACAACATAAACGTCATATGCCTGTCACATACGACCGCGCAATTTTGAATTACCGGATTGTGTACCCAACATTTTCTCCCCGCGTTGAAAGACCCAGGGTCTTTCAAAAATTCACCAGACTTGAATATTGAAGTTGAACTTCAGATCGTACACATTACAAAACAAATACGGAGAAAAATACATAAAATATAAAAATAAATAAACATAAGATAGGTATATGAGCCTAACACTCATCACCTGACAAATAAATAACATAAGTGGAAAAATGTGGCTGATGCACGAAAAATAAATATTTTACATAATGAGGACATAGGGACAAGGATCAGAGCTCGACTGGTAGACGCACAAGCTTCACGACGGGACGCTTGTAGACACCGTCCTGAGTGCGCACGGACACGACACGAACGACATCATCTGGTCCTGGATGGACCTCTGTGACGCGGCCGAGACGCCACTCGGTAGGTGGTCGAGACGGGGCTTCGACGATGACCATGTCGCCGATGGCTAGGTTCGGGGATGGCATGGATCGGCTGTCCAATCAAGAAGTGTCCTAGTGTTTGATAGGTGGACATGAATTTACGATAAGCAGCATACAATTCGGAGTCCTTAGCCAACCGTTTTTCTAGGTTATAAAACCGTTTCAACGCGATGGAGCGTGAGTCGCCGGGACCGTGACGCGGTGTGTCTTGTTGTCGAGCTGTGCTCGCGAACAAATGACGAAATGGTAGAGCGACACAGAATCGACCGGTGGAATCCCGCGAAGTAGATTTGGTAAAATATTCTTCACACCACTGATCTTCCGTGGTGGGTGACGTAGGTGCGGTGGGTTGTTCGACCAACCAAAATTGTTTTAATAGATCTCCAATTGACGGCGGAGCGATCGCGGTGGTCAGCGTGACTGGGGGTGACTTGCTCGGAGTAGAAAACGAACCAAAAATTATCCATCCGAGCTGGGTGTCGAGGGCCGATGGTAAACCCGAATGGTGCTCCACACCCGCGTGAGAGCGGATAAGACTAGGTAAAATATCGGTGCCGAATAAAACGTCGATGCACGACGGAATATCGAAGTTCTCGTCCGCGAGACGGAGGTGTCGATATTGTTGACGCACGGTTGTCGGTAACCGTGTGGATGGCATGACGCCGGTAATTTGTTTTAGAATAACTAGTTCAACAGACGGGAACAAATCAGATTTAAAACGCGACGAAAATTGACACCTGGTGACACCTTGCACGTGGTTCACTGGACTTTGCGCGAGACCTACGACGTCGGATTTAAAACGGCGTTTCGATAGTCCTAACTGAGCGAAGCAATCGCTTGAGATGGCCGAAATTTGAGACCCACTGTCGAGAAGTACTCGAACTGGATGAATTTGGTCCCAGGCGTCCTTGATGTGAACTATGGCCGTACCGAGGACGACCGTGGAGTTGGTGCATGCTGCACCTGAAAATGAACTTGACTTGTCGGCGGAGGGACCTGAACCAGGATCTGCGCTGGTACTCTGATTAGTTTTGTTCACGGCCGATGACTGATCGGTATTAAGATGTAGTAAGGAGTGGTGACGCTTACTACTGCACGAGCGGCACACCCCTGTTGATGAACACGCGTTGAGCATATGAGACGGACTCATACATGAAAAACATAATTTTCTAGCCGCTACGAATTCGCGGCGGTTTTCGACTGTCATATCGTTGAACTTTGGACAATGGTAAATACTATGATCAGCCTTATCGCATGACAAACAACCTCGTGACTTAGACTTGACCGATGTAGATGTGGTGGCGGCAAACACTGATTTTTCCGATATAACAGTTTTGTTACGCGTATTATATTTTTCGTGTGGTTTCGTTGAAATATCAGATTTACTGGAAGTTTTTATGTTCTCTAATACTCGACAGCGTTGTTGTACAAAACTGAGTAACTCGTCGAACGTCGGAATTGTCGAGCTCGACGCATTGGATTCGAATAATTGAATCGTCGTCGGATCGAGAACTCGGGATCCCATGTGAAATAATAAAAAGCTTGACAGGTCGTTGACACCGAGCGCTTTAATTATGGCTACATTTTCCTTGAACGTGTTGATAAACGACGTCAAGGCTGGTAGCGACTGATGTGCAATAGGTTTGAATGCAAATAATTTATCTAAGTGTGCCGACGCTAGCAGGCGCTTATTATCAAACCGAACGGACAATGCTTCCCAAGCGAGGACATAATTATTCGCGGATAACGGAATTGATTTGACAACAGCGAGAGCGTCACCCGATAAACACGACATTAGATAGTGAAATCGTTCGGCATCGCCAATGCCGGTGTTGTCATGTACGAGAGAAACGTAAATATCGCGGAACGATCGCCACTCCAATAGATTACCGTCGAAGCTGGGCAGCTGAATTTTTGGTAACGGAACGAATTGTTGAGGCGCGGACGCGATGGACGACGAAGACGACGATTTTATTTCGGACACACTCGCGACGACAGTTTTAATTTCGAGACGCATAGTCTCCATAGATGCGATCACTGGACGATCATCCTGATCAAACTCGGCCACACGGTCAAGATCGATTAACGCGTTAATTATAACGTCTTGTTGACGTTGAAATTGTTCGACATATTGATTTAAATCTTCGGCGTGAATAATTAACGACGGCACTCGATCGGCATCAGAACGTGCGGCTAAAGCTGTGACGTGAATACCTTTTATGGAGTTTAAAACGTTGTCGCGTTTGACACGTGCTCGAGCGAGAGCGTTTTCAGCAGTTTCTTCTTTTTTCGGTGCCATGACGACAGAAATACGAGATCAGGTGAAATTACAAAATTGGCGTGTGATTGTGACGAAGTAGTCGCACAGAAAGATCCGGTTCGAAGGACCAAACAATGTGCGGTTGACGGCTGCACATGCAAAGCCGGTTACGAGTGTGCGTGTGTGTGAGTGCGCGCCCGGACGGTGGCCAACACGCAACCCGTCTTGTGTGACGATACTTCTCACTTACCTTAGTCGATAGCCCTGTGGGAGGGAAGAAATAGTGGACTGTATTTAAAAACTATGAAATAGGAGCTGGTTGCAAATAGGGAAATTATATTTAATATGATGATGATGTGAGGTATCTAACCTAGTGCGGTAATGCAAGTATAAAACATTTGTTTGCGGTCTAAAATATACAAACAATTTATTATGATATTCTGCAGTACGAAAATCTTATAGACTAATGTTAGTGGTAAGAAATAGTGCGCGATCACAAGTCGATCGGCGAAAAAATAATATAATAATACACAACGCACGTCGAAGACGACGACGAATAACAATTCAATTAAACTAATAGTGCGACAGTGCACGTCGGAGACCTATAACAATAAGTGATACAAAATGATGCGTGTGTACGACCTGATAGGCTGACGTTGATAGTAGGTGATAGTGGTGACGGAACGGTTGCCCCAGAACGACAATGATCCTGCTGCTCGCGTCTGTGTGGTATGCGGCAGGAGTACTTCCGTCGAACACGGCGAATCGGTCGACGACACCGCGTACTGGCGTCCGGTGGTCGACGATGGCGTGGAGGCGTGGATACGACACCAAAATAGGCCGGCGCGGGCCAAATTACGATCGGCACTGGCGTACCGGTTGTCGCGGCGCTAACGCGGCACAAACGACAAAACTAGAACACGTCACGGTTGCGGGCTGACCCGTTCGCACGATGTAGGGCGGGCGGACGGGAAAACACGTGGATGCGTGGGCGATCGGAACTCCAAAGACACGGTGATCGTCGGGCGGGCGACGATATAACAACAAATAGGTACTAGGTGTACCAGCCACGGTTCGCACTGCGTTAGACGGACGGGCGAGAAGCACGTGGATACGAGGGAACGGGGCTCAATTCGCACGGCGAATATCGGGCGAGCGACCGAACTTATTGGATGATGATGTATCGCGACACTGACGGTCGAGACGATACAAATCGTGAGCACATCGGACGGTGCGACACGGGAGCAAAGACGGCTCGGAACAAGCACGTAAACACGTGGGTGACCACGGCTCGGGGTCGCGGCGCTGACGCGGCACACGACGAACAAATAACAATGAGCCGGGAGGTCGGCACACGGGCCGATACTCGTAACGCGAAAACTGGCGTCCGCGACGAGCTAAAAGCAGCGAGGCTGAGGTGCACGGAACGCACAACAAAAAATGGCGTTTTAACGGCGGCGGCGCACCGGATCGCGACATATACGGGATTACGGGAACTTGCCTAGACGGCTCGGAAACGACGACGAAAAGTGTAGCGGCAGCTGCGGGCGGCCGTCGGCTCGACCGCGACGGTACCGTCCCCTTCTTCTGAGGTACAAAGTTCACTCGCACAGTTTTTCGGTGGCGGCGCAGCAGGGTGACAACATAAACGTCATATGCCTGTCACATACGACCGCGCAATTTTGAATTACCGGATTGTGTACCCAACAATATGCAATAGAAATTGCTCTAGCTAAAAGAGCTGGTGCATTCGCAAGTCCAAATATAACTCTGCAAAATTCGATATGGTAATCAGGAGTCACTGCAGCAGTTTTAAAAATATCATTTTCTTTAATTTTAAAATTGTTAAATGCGTGTTTGATATCTACCAATGATTTGAATTTTTTACCAGCTATTTTACTGATCATCAAGTCCATTTGATCTATTGGAAATGGGTCTTTTACTGTAATTGGATTTATAGTTCTTGAGTAGTCTACAACCAATCGTTTCGGGGTTGACTCATGAAATGGCTGATCTACAACAAAGGCAGGTGCTGCATAAGGCGACGTTGACATGCGACACACTCCTTGTGATATCCATTTTTCTACTTGATTTCTCATAAATGTTCTGTCTGGATCGGTTGCTTTATAAGGTTTACATTTAATAGGCTTGTCGTTGGTCAATAAAATCTCCATCTCAATGTCCGGAAATTCTCCAAGTTCAGCTTCAGGTGTTGAAAAAATGTCCTCATATGAGTTAATTAGAGATTCAAGTTTCTGGGTTTGGTCTTGATTGAGAATTGGTTGATCTACTTTTGTGGTTTCTATATCAGATATTTTGGTAACAAGTGGTATGTTGTTAAATCTGGATTGTACGACACATCCAACAAATGCAGTTTTGGATTTTACACAACCGAATTCTTGAATAGACGATGGTGTTGTTATACATACAGCACCATTTGGTTCGATAGTAATTGTTGCCTGTACTGCTTTTTGCCAATCACGACCTAGAATCATTGCAATTGGTAATTTATCACATAGACCTACTTTTGGCATAACATAATCAATGTTTCCGACTTTTATTCTTAGACTTATCCAACCACTTGGTGTGCAGTTACCCTCAGGCGTAGCGTATGATCCATCTTGCCATGGAAATATGGGTATGTTATCTGAAACAAAACACCTTCTGAGTAACGTAACACATGATCCAATATCGGGTAAGGCATCGATAGTCATGTTGCCATTTATTGTGGCCGGAATTTGAGATACTCTAACAAAATCTTCTGAGGTAGAATCCTCTTGAACACAATTTATTGTTTTGGTTGTCAATGTCTCTTTAGGCTTTGCCTCTTTATTAAAATGTTTCTTATTGGCGTAGGTGGTATCTTTTATGTCTGTCTTGTTGTAAACACGAGCTGATTTTTCTTGAAGTGGATTTTTACAATTGTAACTGACGTGTCCTACTTGCTTACATCTATAACAAGTTTGATCTTCTTCTTTATGAACTGATGGGTTGAAACGAGGAATATAGTTACCGTGTTCTTTTTGGTTGTCTTGAGATTTGAAACTAGTTGTATTTTCGGAAGTATTTTCTTTAACATACTGAACTTTGCGAATGGCATCCAATTGCACAGCCCTATCTAAGAGGTCCTTAACAGAAGTACACATTGCTGTCGTCAATGGAATTGCCCATTCGTGTTTAGTTATGCCTTGTAAGATTAAGGAAACTCTATCAGACTGTTGTAGCGGGAATGGAGCTTTGTCTATAATAGCATCCTTGTCATAAATGTAATCTGCAATTGGTTCATTAGAGCGTAGTGTGCGTTTGGCTTGGAATTGTATAAATTCAGAAAGAGACATCTTAACTTTAAATCTATCTATGATGCCTTCTTTCCAAGTATACCAATCGTCAAAAGAGCGACCAGATACTTTGTGCCAGTTTAAGGCTGATCCTGCTAATCGTGAGGTGGCGTTGACTAAGGTGAGAGATGGAGTCCAGTGTGCGTGTACTGAAATGCGTTCAACTTCTTTAACCCAGTCGCAAACATTTTCGATTTTTTTTCCAGAGAATAAAGATATTGCTTTAGCAGTATCGTTAGTGGAAAAGATTTGTACTTGATGTTGAGAGTTTAGTGATAATTTATCGGCGATTGCTTGTTGCGATTGTGATAATCGGAGAATGAGTTCCAGAACATTTTCGTTGGCTGGTTGACTGTTTTGGGTTAAGCTCATCGTGGTGATAGTGTTCTGCAATTCAATAATTTTTTGAGCGTCTTCGTTTCGTTTTTTTCTAGCTGCAATAAGGTTTGCTTGTATTCCGTCAGCTACTACTCGCTCATTGTCGCTGAGAAGCATGTCTACAAGTTCTTCTTTTTGACCTGTATTAGGTAATAATCGGAATAATAATTCTTCTCGAATTTCCTCGGTCTTAATTGCCTTTAATACTGTCCTTTCCGTTGAGTCTAAAGCACTCATGACTGAGGATTTGACGAATTTGATGAGCGTTTATGACAATACTGATAATTGATACGTAATTTATCAGTTATCACAATATCATAGATAATACGAGTTATATTATCTATGCACAATATAAACAACAATGTTATCAGTGTACGTACTGAAGTTGTTAACGGCTTCACTTGAATGTTGGTTACAGTTAACCTCAAACTTGAAAAAGGGTAGAATAAAACGTTTCGAAATCCACGTGCAACGTAAGCATGTAAGACTTCAAATAAAAAACGGAAAACGCACTTCTATGTAAATTTACGTTAAACGACACTTAAAAAATACAATAGAACACGTTTCGATTTACCACAGCGCCATGTAAATAAATAAAAGAACTAATGCGTGTATAGACTTGTATTTATTAACATAAGAGATGTTCCTCTCGTCGGCGTCGGGAACTAACTGACTGTCCGACTGCCGTGTGCAGTGTTGCAACCGTACAATGATAACAATTACAACATAATATAATTACATAATATAAAATAAGTGACAACATTGTAATATGTGATTTAGAACCTTACAGTATTATATTATATGAATTACTTTTTGATATAATCTATTATCTTATGACTTATACCTATGATAATATTATACTGAACGGGAGATATCATTGCGGTATGTACCTATAACAAACAAGAATTTTTTGAAAATATTTGTTTTACGTATCTAATTTTAAATAGTTGAAAAATAACAATTTTCTAAAAAAATTATATTTTTACTACTTTTTATAGTTATTGTCTTTATTTAATGACAACACTTATTTTTAATTCCTCATTCCAGAGCAGAATAATTTTTGAAGTACTTCTATAGTTCTATGAATAAAAAATAAAAATACAATTTTAGACAAGTAGTAATTATTGTGATGGGTTTTGTTTATTTAAAGTTTAGATGATTAGAGGAGTGAAGTGGCGTTCTGATGGTGTGGAGTGGTACAGGGGTATCCTGAAAAATGTTGGTCCACTACTCCACTCATCTAAACCTTAAGCACTTATAACTAATAATTAATAAACTACTCGTCCAAAATTTGATTTTTTTATCCATTGTATATATAAAAAAAAAAATCACAAACAAACTTCGTTGATAAATGTGTCCACGACGGCCACAGTCAAAACAATAGTAAAAAAATAAACATTAAAAACAACATATCATAACATTTTAATAATAAATCTTAGTTTAAAATTAGTCTTATGCCGAAATGACGAGTTCAAAGACTTTTTTAACTCGATTTTTGCTGGGTGGATCATAATTTTATACCATTATACCCAATATTATATTGGATTTATCGCTTATCTTAACTCGGCCACAGTGGTATTCCACCAACAACAAACGACGTAGTAAATCAAAAAATACTACTACGGCGAGGAAATTGTTTTTCAACCCATTCGGATCAAAACTAAATGGTATATTATAATAGTAATACAATATTACATCACAATAATAATAATAATAAAGGTGTGATTTTGAACGCATATATGGCGGAATATGGGTTTCCGGCTTATACGGACGCGCCAATAATATATTATTGTATTTATAACGCAGTAGGTAACATAAAATATGGAATTTGGCTAAAAAGTTGGAAGAGGTGGATAATATTATTATGTTGAGACTAGTAAATTTATTACTAGGTAGGTACCAACTTATATTTTTTAACGAAGAATTCCATAAAATAATAGCCTGTAATCAAAACTTGCATTATTTTAAAAAACATAAAACAATATAAAACATTATACAAAATGTGGTGTATCGTGTATGTGGTAATCGAACTTTGAATCTCAAATTGTTTTACTCATATAACGACATGTAATGCATTATAATAGTACTTAGAATCCAAATTTTATTTCACTTCTTTTTATATTATATATGAATATTTCTTTGAGCATGTATGCAGCTATTAATGGGGTATGAAATGTGAACACATTTTTCAACTTATAATATACATTAAAAAGTTTTTTTTTGTAATTAAATGTGTAATTTTAAATATTTTGTATTTTTGTTTATATAAGTACTATTAATTTATTTTGTATATTTTAACTTTTAAGTACTTGAGTATAGTGATGATTTTAAAATAAAAATTTCAAATTTCCCAGGTATGACAATACTACACTAGATTAGAAATAATAATTACTAGCCGCCAGAATCGTTGGTCATAATAATTTTCGAAAATCAATTATCATTATTTAAATTGAATTTTGAAGCTCAGATAACGGAGCTCTTTTTTTTAAATTGTAAGGCAATGTTATTTATTTCAATATCTTTTGATTTATTTTCGAGTAACTATATAGGTATTTACAATTGACATTTAAACGAAGGTAAGGTGATTTATATTCATATTGCTATGTTTAAAACGTATCGTTAATTATTATGACGAGTAACATTTCACATAAAAAAACACACAAAACAATGCATTTTCGTCCGTGCGAATTGAGGGTTTCCACAAACAGACCACACTGACACAATCTGTAAAAAACAGTGTGTAATAAATAATAATAATATAATATTTTAGTATATAATAATATAATAAA